AGCTGGAAAAAGGTGTTTGTACAGGGGAACAGATTTCCCTTTATATAGGACACTATACAACTCAACTACCTATACATGGTTAACCCCTAACCTATCTAACCGGTTCATACCTGAACCAATAACCTATATACACGGAAACGTTGCCGTTTCCCTCAACACCCCCCCCCCCCCCCCCCGCAAGCTGACCATGTATGGAATGGATGGGCAGCTTGGAGATGAGGTCCTTGAAGATGGAGACGCCAACAACCTTGGTGAATGGATCAGCAAGTTGCTGTTCTGTGGGGATGTATTTGACGTTGAGAAATCCACGCTGAACTTGATCACGCACTAGATGGCAGTCTAGCTCTATGTGTTTAGTGCGCTTGTGCTGGACTGGATTTGAAGCCATGTGGATAGCAGATTTGCTATCACAGTAGATCTGCAGTGGGAGTTGCAGAGGTTGATGAAGTTCTGTGAGGAGGGATGTCAACCATTGGAGCTCACAAGTCGTTTCTGCCAGAGCACGGTACTCTGCCTCGGCTGAGGATCGAGAAACAACCTGCTGTTTCTGAGCAGCCCATGAGACCAGGGAGTGGCCAAGGAAAACACAGAAACCTAAGGTGAACCTTCTGGTGTCGAGGCATCCTGCCCAATCTGCGTCGGTGTAAGCATGAAGATCTATGGATGACTGGGCGGAGAAGAAGAGGCCTTGTGCTGGTGCTGCCTTGATGTAGCGAAGAACCCTCTGAATGGCTTGCTGATGAGGTGTCCGAGGGCTGGAAACAAACTGTGCCAGGTAGTTGACAGCAAACTGCAGGTCTGGGCGGGTGTTGCAGAGATATTGCAGGCGGCCAACTAATGTTCTGCAACTGGTGGCTTCATCTTCTGACAGGGGTTCTCCTGCTGTGTTTGATAACTGGAGACCAGGGTCAAGCGGAGTGTTTGCAGGCTTGGAGGCCAGCATCCCTTGATCCTCAAGCAATTCCAAAGCATACTTCCTCTGGTTCATGTGTATACCTGCAGAAGATCTGGCTATTTCCATTCCTAGAAAATACTTAAGCTGGCCTAGGTCTTTTATGGTGAAAGCTTTGTCTAAATGCTCTTTGACCCTATTAATCTCAGCCATATCATTACCAGTTAAGACTATATCATCCACGTAAACAAGCAAAGCAGTGTAAGAATTGGGTTGGTTTTTAACAAATAATGAGTAATCTGATTTTGATTGTTTGTAACCAATAGAAAGGAGGGTGGATGTTAATTTGAGAAACCACTGTCTACTGGCTTGTTTCAAGCCATATAGACTTTTGGTTAACTTGCAAACCTTGTTTGCATCAGCAGGGTCAGTGATAAGGCCAGGAGGTAAAACCATGTAGACCTCTTCATCGAGATCTCCATGTAAGAAAGCTGTATTAACATCTAGTTGATGAAGGTGCCAGTTGTTAATAGCAGCAAGAGTTAGTAAAACCCTGATTGTTGTTATCTTAGCAACTGGACTGAAAGTGTCAAAATAATCTATTCCATAAGTTTGGGTATAACCTTTAGCAACTAACCTAGCTTTAAACCTTTCTATGGAACCATCAGACTTGTACTTTATTTTGAAAACCCATTTACAGCCTATAGGTATCTTACCAGGAGGTAAATCTACTAACTTCCATGTTTTAGTATCTATAAGAGCTTTAAGCTCAAGGAGGACAGCTTTAACCCATTCTGGGTTTTTAATAGCTTGCTTATATGTTTTAGGTTCTTTAAGTTGCATAATTGCTAAGGCAAAATGTAAATAGGAAGGGGATAAATCAGAATAAGACAAAACAGAGTGTAAAGGATACTTACAGTGGGAGTCAGTTTCTATTTGACAGGCATTAGCAGTGGTTTTGAGATTGTGATGATAGTTGGACATGTAAGATGGAAGAGTACTTTGTCTTGAGGATCTTCGTAACTGCGGTTCTTCTGGCTGTGGGAGGGGAGTGGGTGATGGTTGGGAACTGTTGGCAACAGGGGAATGGATGGGAGAGGAAGGAGTGTGAGTGGGAGAGGGAGGATTGCTAGTGTTTAAGTAGAGTGGTGTATCAAAAGAGATGATGGTAGACAAGTCAGTTATGGTAGTGGAAGAAGGAGTATCTGGTGGAGGAGAAGAGGCCAAAGGGAAGATGTTCTCGTGAAAGGTGACATCCCTAGATAGGAACAACTCTTTGGTTTGAAGATTGAGCAGTTTATACCCTTTTGTACCTGTAACATACCCTAGGAAAACACTAGGAACAGCTCGGGGAGCTAACTTAGACCTATTATGAGACAGTGTAGAAGCATAACAGAGAGATCCAAACACTCTAAGATAGGAATAAGTAGGTGGTTTATTGTGCAACAGCTCATAGGGACTTTTATTTGCTAAAAGTGGAGAAGGAAGACGATTAATTAGATGAACAGAATGTGTGACAGCATGATTCCAATAAGTAGAAGGAAGGGAAGACTGAAACAGTAAAGCCCTAGTCATAGCAAGTAGATGTTGATGCTTACGCTCAACAATTCCATTTTGTTGAGATGTTTGAACACAGGTACGTTGATGTAGTATACCAGTTTCATTATAAAACTCACTATACAGAAATTCTTGACCATTATCAGTTCTAATAGACTTGATTTTCTTATTATATTGTGTTAAAACAAACGTGTAAAAAGATTTCAGCAAAGGTCTAGCTTCTGACTTTGATTTCATGAGAAACAGCCATGTATGTCGAGAGAAGTCATCTACTACTGTTAAGAAATACAAATGACCAGAACTAGAAGCAACTGAGGCAGCACCCCATATATCAATATGCAATAGATCAAAACAGTGAGCAGATACAGTTTGACTAACATGAAATGGTAAACGCTTCTGTTTTGCACAGGGGCATACAGAACAATGGAACTGTTTATTCATGGTAATATCTGAATCTATAGCATGTAGTAAAGGAAATTTGGCATAGGGTAGATGGCCTAGGCGATAGTGCCATAGATCAATAGTGGATTGGGAGGAAGAGGAGAGCTGGACAGAGTTGGATGTATGTGGAGTTGTCATGTTATGTTGAGAAGCAGCATGAGGGTCCAGTTGATATAAACCATCTCAGAGATTAGCTATACCAATCGTCCTCAGAGATAGGAGGTCATGTAGTAAGCAATGAGAACTAGCAAAGGTCAGTCCAAGGGCTACCTTGGCTGCCAGCTTGCTCACTGAGACTAAGTTAAATGTGAAACTAGGGACGAGAAGGACATCATGTAAGGGAAGGTTTGGAAAAACATGACACTGCCCTATATGAGTGATCAAAGCCTTATCACCATTAGGGAGGAAAACATAAGCAGGTGGGATAGACCTATAGTTATCTAGGAATTCTATTGAACTAACTATATGATCAGTGGCACCCGTATCCAAAATCCATTTAGGAGATGTATCAACCAACATACAAAGAGATGGAGAAACAATGATCTTACCTTGTGGTGTAGGAAGTGCCTGAGTGGTGATAGAGCAGGCCTGACTGGCAGATGGAAAACCATAGGAGACTGGCAGTTCAGATGCAGCAGCTGGTATGTTGTAAGGAGGATAGGCCTAAGAAGATGTAGATGCCTGAGTAGGGTCAAATTGCTGCTGGAAGTACTGTGACTGCATAAACTAAGTCATCTTCTGGTAAGTCTCTTGAATCTGACTCCACTCCTGAGGTGGGAAGGGAACTGGGGTTGGTTCTGCAGAGGAACCCTCTTCTGTTGACACACAGTGAGCCTTGGCCTTGCCTTTGTACCCAGGAGGAAACCCATGAAGCTTGTAACACTTGTCGATGGTATGACCATAAGAATGGCGGCGAGTGCAGAAAGGCCTGTTGCTACCAGGCTGAGGTGGTTGGGAGCTAGTGGAAGTAGGGTAAGGGGACCTTGGTGGAGGATGAGTAGGATTTCTGCCAGAAGGAAAGCCTCTAGAGTACATTGCCATCGAATCAGGCAAGGAAGGAGGGACAAGAACACGGTTCTGTTTCTCTTGTTCAATGATCATTGCAAAAGCTTGGTTGAGACTAGGCATGGGGTTCATTAACATGATCTGAGATCGAGCAGCAGCATACGAATCATTGAGACCCCTCACAAACCTAAGGACATAGTTGATTTGATGATTCTGACGCACTATAGCTAAACCACAATTGCAAAGACCATTGCATCGACAAGGGGGAATTGGCAAGAAATTATCCAACTCATGCATCCAAGTGGTCATCTGTGTGAAGTAAGCACTTACAGACTGGGAACCTTGCTTGAATCGGAAAAGATCTTCTTGAAGCTCAGCGATGCGGAAATTGTTACCGCGAGAGAATCGTTCGCGCAACTCATTCCAGACAACCAGAGCATCTTCGAACCATTGAAACCCTAGAGCAATCGCTGGAGAAACTGATCGAAGAATCCATCCAAGGAGCAGAGTGTTGTTTCTTGACCAAGCGCGAAGGAGAGGATTGCCAGGAGGAGGCTTCGTGATGGTGCCATCGAGAAATTGCAGCTTGTTCTTCGTCGATAGAGCTCGAATCATAGCTCGCTGCCAGGTCGAGTAATTGGTTTCATCAAGAACTGGAGAAACCAATTGCTGGCTAAGACTTTCAGCTGGATGGATGAAGAACAGACTGTTGGGATCGAGATCAGCTGCGGTGTGCGGAAGCGGAGGAACAGATGGAATCGGCTGCGATGGAATCGGCTGTGACGACGACGACGGACCAGAAGTCTGATTGGCAAACGCCATTGTTGTAGAGAAGAAATTGACGAGAAGAAATTGATCGGAAGCAAAGAAAAACTCGAAAGAAATCAAGAATGCCCTGATTGCTCTGATACCATGTCAAAGTCTTAACGAATTCAGTTGAGAGAATGTAATAAGCTGGAAAAAGGTGTTTGTATAGGGGAACAGATTTCCCTTTATATAGGACACTATACAACTCAACTACCTATACATGGTTAACCCCTAACCTATCTAACCGGTTCATACCTGAACCAATAACCTATCTACACGGAAACGTTGCCGTTTCCCTCAACACCGGTGGCCAGCTGCGTGCTTCTCCTTCTTCCTTCCTTTCCCATTTCCCCTTCTTCCCCCATTTCCTTGCCTATTCCTCCATTCCCTTCTTCTATGTCGTTGAATTAATCGAATTGGATTCCCGGCATTCAAAACCCATTTCTTCAATTCTCGATTCGGAGCTCCTAAATGCCCCCATCGCCGGAATTTCGCGGAAAATAGCGCGCTCGAGGAAGGGCTTCGCGCCTCGTCTGTCTCTGTGCGTGTGTGTAATTTCTGGTGTTCGTGTTCTCTCTTTCTGCTCGTTACTCCGATTGATTCTCTCCCGTCTCCGGGGAGGGCGGCCGTCGGGGTATCTTATGCGTCTTGGGCTTTTCTTCTGGAGGTTAGGGTTTGTCCGCGCGGGTGGGAAAAATGAAGTCCCCGCTCGGTAAGTCCCGGGGATTTAAGCTCCACAAGAGTGATTCGAAAGATAAAAGGGACTTCCTGCATCCAGCTCACTTAGATGAGCTCGCTCAAGCTGCCGAGGTACCGGAATTCTTCCCATATCTCTTTATCACTCACTGGTTATGGGCTGTCTCCCAATTCAGTAGGAATGCCGATCCCATTTGTGTAAGATTGTAGTTTAATTCATAAATCAATTTGCTTGGATAAGCCATGCTTACTCATAATTGATCTCAAGAGGTTAAGGGAACTTGGGAATGTATTGATTCATCATTATGAGGTCAAGTTATGGAAGGGTGTTTTAGCAGAGCTTAGGAGATAGAAATTCTAGAAGTAATAATACATATTCTTCATAGTTCAAAGTTTGGTTCTCCTTATGTCTGACCTTCATCGCGTAAGATAATCATTCAATCGTTTATTGTTTTTTCTATTCCCTTTATAGGACATGCAGGATACGAGAAACTGCTATGATAGCTTACTTTCAGCAGCTGCTGCAACAGCAAACAGTGCTTACGGTAAATGCTGAACACATGAGCTTCAATTATGTAGAGTTGTTTGCCCGCCCACACCCGAAATTCATGATGATCGCAGTTATTAATTCTGAATTTGAACTCAATATGAATTTGGTGCAATGGTGCCTATTCTCTTAGTATGGAGACAATTAGTATGCTCTTATTTCTTGGAATATTTTCTGTTTTCTCAAGTACAGTGATCTTATTTTCATTTCGCCTTACCTTATGATGCCAAATCTTTATCACTCAATGAAAGATACGTGTCAACTGACTCCTTCAGGTAATTTCCCATTGAGAACCTCTTCGGAACGCTCGAACTTAAGGAGTTCTGCATCTAGCTTTGGAGATACAGATGTTAGTTACAATGTGCGAACCAAGTCCACCGAGCCGACAGTTGGTCAGAGGAATGTCCAAAAGCCCGCTGCAAGGATCGTGGGCTTCGAATCTCGGGAAACAAGTTCTAGTTTCGAAGGCATAGTTAATGAAACAGAGACGTGCATGTCGATTGTCAAGAAGCGGTTGCTGTCACCATTGAGTGGCTTGCTATCTGCAAAGCAATTCAATGGGGATTCTCTGAACATTGGCTCTCGTCCTTCTCAGATGCACTATGATAACAAGAAGGCAAATGTTGGAAACAAAGTTGACCTCACTTATTCGTCTTTCCCATTAGCTAGTTTCTTGGAGCAAAAGGAAGTGGTGTATGATAACAGTCCCAAAACATCTTCTACTGATGGAAGATCACAACTTAGAGCAGTATCATTATCCCCCAAGAAGTCAAATTCGCCTCTCTCTTTGTCTCCTCTAGGCCCGAGATTTCCAGAAAGAATCAAAAGTGTAGGAGCATGCAGGGAATCAGTTCATGGGCATGAATCTTGCTTTATCATTGGTTCAGAAGAAACAGGCCTTTCTACAAGCAGATCACTTGAAGATGATGATCTATTTTGCAGAGAATTCATCTCATGTTCTCCTGATGATTTAAGCTGGTCTTTATTCCATGGATCAGCTCCATCTAAAAGCATAAAGTTTGTGAGAAGTCTGAGCAGTCCTTCAGCCAGGCGGTCCTTGGTCGGTTCTTTCGAAGAGTCACTATTATCCGGACGGCTTTGCTCAGGAAAATGCACTCAGGTTAGTATATGTTATATTATTCATAGCTGTTTCTTATGGTTGGATTCTGTCTTTAGCGTAGTTAGGATGCAAAACCAACTATTTGTTTATCTTGTAGAAAATAGATGGTTTCCTTGCTGTATTAAGCATCACTGGAGGGAACTTCTCACCACAGTCACAGAAGCTCCCATTTTCAGTGACCAGTGTACATGAAGATTGTTATTTATTGTACTATGCGTCAATTAATCTAGCTGGGAATTCTTCTTCAAACAAGCAACGGAACCTTGGCTCCAGATGTGGTAGGGACGGGAATAATGGCGATTCACTAAGTGTTAGGAGTCGTTTGCGTGTTCCAATGAAAGGGAGAATTCAACTGGTACTGTTCTGTTAACTTCTTGCATTAAAGATATTGAGCTTTGACTGTGGCATAAGACTTGTTTATCCTATGACCTGTTCGCTGAGGTTGATGAACTGAGAAATACGATATATAACTCGTAGTTATCTTGTCCATCTAGATTCTATATGTTATGGTTTTACTATATGATCTCCAGTTGAAACCAGGCAAAAATTGTCTTGGATCTGCGTTTAGATATTTGGTGTATTGGTCTTTGGATATTTTCATTTCAGCTTGGCTGACGTTGTTTTTAGCTTTTAACAATTTGTGCGATCCACCATGAGCCATTGGTCTGAAAAGTTAGGATTGAAGAAATGTGTTTGTTCGGCTTTAAAGTTCTTTATATTTGTTGCTGAAACAAGCACATCCTTTATCTTGGGAATGTATTTTGTCCTTCTTTCTGCAGGTTCTCAGCAATCCCGAAAGAACACCATTGCACACCTTCCTTTGCAATTATGATTTGACCGATATGCCAGCTGGTACCAAGGTACTTAGAAACTTGTTTACTTAACAGCTGAGAGTAGGGATTGGGTATGGCTTCTCAGTTGATGATTTTGGCTGAAGTGTCCGTTTCTAATGCCATTCTTTACCTGTGTTTGGTTTATTTATAAAAAAATACTAGACCTTTCTGCGCCAGAAGGTCAGCTTAGCTTCATCTGGGACAGCTCTCGCTGAGTTGAAACTGGGGCAGCAACTGGATTCAGAGAAGAAGGTCCAAGACAAGGCAGAAGGAAAACCGCCTTCTGTTGATGATCAGAGAAGTGAAGTTAAGAGCAATGAGAATAGTAGCCCCACCAGCCATGGATGTGGTGCCCTACGCTATGCACTTCATCTCAGATTCCTCTGTCCTTACCCTAAGCGATCTCCTAGCAAGTCGGGAGCAGCTGAAAAGGCAGCTTCAAGTCCTAAATCGGAAGCCCACGTGGACCGGAGGTTCTACTTGTACAATGACATGAGGGTGGTGTTTCCTCAGCGCCATACAGATGCTGACGAGGGGAAGGTACGTACGTTCAAATCAAAATTTGTATTAAGAGTCCGAGAAGACCATTTTCTAGTTTTATTTTGAGTGACTGCTATAAATTAATTTGTGTCTGTTTTTGGGCAGTTGAATGTGGAGTACCATTTCCCAGAAGATCCGAGATATTTCAATGTCGCGAGCTGAATCAATGAACTTGAATTGGGTTTCCTTCAAGGAGTGTACATAAATATGGTTTGGGGGTCAGCCGATCATGATGTTTAAATTATTTATGCAGTTAGTTGTTCTTAAGTCGTTTCCAGATTGTAATCTCTGAAAAATGGCATTAACCTTAATTACATCTGTAAATATGGGGCAGCTTAATAATCTTAGTTCCAACAATTCACATTCTACCCTCTTATTTGTGTGTGTTGTTAGCTGGTAATACCCCATTTTGTGGGTGGAGTATCTGGTTCCTGGTTGTTATGAAAGAGTTGGTTGATCTTGGTGGAGTGTGCATTGAACGAAAAAGGGTGTCCTTATCAATTACTATGCTATTTAGGATAACTGCAGTGGCAAGTGATGAATATGGTTTTCCCCTTTCTGCAAGAAAGGAGGTGCATGCAACCAAAGGCAAGAGAGTAGGACGAGCATCGTACCCGCCAAATTTCAAATCTGGAAATTTGGGATTTAAGGGGTTGGCATTGGGCCAGCCAGCAGTGATTTGGGTTTGAATTTAACATTAGCTTTGATGGGCCTACGTTCATGTGGTTTCGTGGACCAGGCCGAGGATATTATTTACTGACAACATGAATAGCCCAATGAAATGGAAGTGAATTGAATTGAGAATGGAAGGAAACCAAACCCATTAATGTAAGGATGTTGGGGTTTGGGAAACAGTAGTAGTGGAGTTGATTGATGTGAGGAAGTTGGAAAGCATATGATGTTATGTGAATGAGTAGGTAAGGCAAGCAGCTGGAGTTAAGTGGGGATGTACCTAGAGCTGTCAATTTGGTTTGGTTTGGATAACCAAAAAACCAACATGTACTCATACACTCATATTTATTCCAATTTCCCTCCTTTTTATTGAATAAACGTCATAATAATGGTAAATGGCCATAACAAATTATTGGTTGGCATGCGTGTCAAAAGAAACAAAAAAAAATTATTGATAAATAATTGGGCTAATACCACTAGAAATACCAATCTTTAGCGAAAGTGTCATTTATATTACGTAACTTCAATAAACACAAAAATATTCCAACCTATTGGGTGTCTGCGTCATTTATGTTACACGAATTTCTATTGACCGTTAGAGTTAACCATTGACCTAACGGTGGTCAACTTACCTTTGACTATTACTTATGTGGCGCTTAGTTGGTGTCCACGTATTTGCCACGTAGGAAATTTACTATTTTAAAAATTTTTAATTTAATTTATGAAAATAAATTTTTTAATTTTTAAACAAATTTAATTATTTTTTTAAATATTTTTCTCCCTGCCCTCTCCGCGACCTCATCCATCGCCATAACTGCTGCTCGTTAGTCGTCATCGAATCCGAAGCCAATCCCAAAACCCGCGTCATCGCCACCATCGACCTCAACCACGCTGACATCGCTTGACGCCGGGTACCTCCCCTCTGACCTCCGCCTCACAAATCTAGCTCTCTTCCCCAATCGAACACCATGGAGCTCTAGGCGGCGACCCTCCCTCCCAATTTCTTATTCTTCAATCTCCCAAACCCAGCCTTCTACGCCGTGTCGAGCTTCTCTTTCGGCGATGGTGGATCGATGGCAACGACAAGGCTGGCGGGATGGCTCAATCGGGCAATGGTCGAACTCGGCGCCTTCGCAACTGTTGAAACCCACCGACTCCGAATTCGATTCCTCTGCTCCATGTATGAATCCGCCTTCCAATCGACTCTGAGTTTGATTCCTCTACTTGTGCAGCAACCACCATCTGCTGCTTGAGCTTAGCGTAAATCTGACTCCGCAACAAGAACGATTTCGTTGAAGATCCGGATGCCTCCAAATTCGAAGAAGAAGACGAACTCGTTTCTCCGCCTCCGCTATTGCTATCACGATCGTGGGAGCATGCCACAATCTACTTGATCTATGCAGCGGCGGTGGGTGGAAGAATGGCCAGAATCTTATCTTGTCCCGGTCCATTGAATTACAAGAGGGAGATGGGACTTTTCCCCCTTTTTCTCTTTTCCCGTTTTTTTATATATTTTACAATTATTTTTATTAATATTTTCCACGTCAGCTGCCATGTTATTACTTACTGTATTTTCTGTTAAATACTAACAGAAAACTTAACGGATGGTATACAATTGTCATATCAAAAGTTATGTCATATAAATGGCACTTTCGTTAAAGGTTGGTATTTCCAGTGGTATTAGCCCTAAATAATTTTATTCTTATTGGTTTCTTAATGGTTTCTATTGGTTTTTCGGTTTTAACCAAACCAAAACCATTAAGTTGCTTATTGGTTTAAAACCAAAAAACTGAAACCATTAGCTTTCCAATTGGTTTGGTCGCGGACACCGTCCAAGTAGAAATTGAACTTCTGCAGCATAACCGCGTCGTATTCTACGTCGATTCCGTTGTAACGACCTAAATGCGACTCAAATCCATGCGTGTCGTCCTTCTTCCAAACGGTGGGCTCCTCCACAAACTCGCTTGCCCATTCCCCGGGAGTCGGCTTAACGTAGAAAAACTTCTCGAACCAAGTCTTTTTCAACTTGGGGGACCCGTAAACAAACCCATCGGGCCTCTTGTCGCGGCGCTTAATCGACAAGCAGTTGCTCTTCCGGGTTGGCTCCTTAATCTTATATATCTGCCGGAAGAGCCCGTAGGTGGGCACAATCTTGAGCGTTTTGCACGCGAGATGAAGGCAACTCGCGTGCATCACCACAGAGGGAGATAATCTCCCGACCGAACAGCCGAGCCGGCGGTAAAGCGAACAAAGCAGCGGATCGATGGGGAATTTAAACCCCATGATCCAATACTCTGTATATACCCCGAACCAGCCCGGGGGGCAATTGCCGATCATGCTGCGCGTCGACGGCACCGCGTACTCCCAATGGGGGGGCAGTCCCAAGCCGCGCACTATTTCTTCCACATCTTCGCGCGTGTATATCGATGCGTGATCCGCCCCGTGCAGCAAATTGTCGTTGGGCACCGGTTGATCGCCCCACATTTCTGCCCAGTCGAGCACGGTGTAGGCCGCTCCTACTCCACGAAAACCCAGGTGGCTCACCGCCTCGGTCACCCGCGCAACACATCGGGGCTCCGGTTGCACAACCCGTCTTTCGCGCTCACCCCGCCGGATTATTAGTACACCACGACCCCCAGTGCTCGATGGCCCGCCGGCGTCCACATCGCCGTCGGAATCCTGGGCATCCCCCTCTGACTCAGCTCCCCGGGACGACGTCATCGGAACCCCGCCGTCGTCCACAAACTCGCCACCGCCATCGTTGCCGGAGTCGGCTAGATCCAATGAAGGATCGGAAGAAACAGGTGAGAAAGAAGAGAGATTACCTTCTTCGCCTTGCACGCCCTCAGTCTCGTTAATATTGGTGCTAGCCATGGCTACACTCCACGAAGAATTGAGGCTGTAGAAGGAGGAGAGGAATCTCGGCGAACAGAAGCAAACGAGAGGAGAAGGAAGAACCAACAACAACCAAATGGGAGCAAAGTGGGAAAATACAAAGCCCTGAAGGCAGACTCCTATTTATAATCCCTGAGGGGAAGGCGAAGGGTTAAAGTAACATGGGGAGTCGCAACCGTCAGGAACTTTCGAAATTCGAAACGGCCGCCAAAACCGCCCTCTCGTACGATGACACGTGGCAGACCTACTAACGCAGGCCATCATAACGACCATAGGCACTAGCCGTTGACGTCACCAGTGTCGCACAACGCCTGGGGGCATGGCATACCCGCGCAAGAGAAAAAAGCCCAAGAAAACCGCACGGAGATCGCAGACACCACCGATAAAGCCTCGCGGAGAATCCGAAAGATCCCACCCACTGCATCGCGCAATCCCGAGTTGGTCGCGCCAAAATTAAATAACCGTGCACGCGAGTCCAAAATCAAAAACATCTCATAACCCAAGGTAGCAGGCGCAATAACATGAAGACCACAAGCGAGAAAGTCAAAAAGGCGCGCTCGCAAACACACAGCCAAAAACGACCCCAGCAATGAGCGCCGCGCGTAACAAGTCCGAAAAAATCTCACACGGGTCCGAGTCTATCAGGTAAAAGGCTCAACAGGCGGTATTCACGGAACACCCCCTACTGGGGGGCAATTGTTGGGCGTGTGACTCGGACCTCTCCACGCTAAGAAGACATGTCTGGCTGCGCGATAAGGGCGAAGGTTGTACGCGCGGGCGAATAGACCGTCGCGCGCGGACCAGACCAAGGAGCGGCGTAGAGCGTCATCGCGTCGTCACGCTTCCCAAGAGGGTCACATCAAGGTCCTAGATATTGTCCTAGGTAAACCCCTGACAGACCCTATGTAGGGGTATGGTTTAGCTAGGGGTAAGGTCTAAATCCCTGACATGACGTCAGAGGTCACATCAAAGCACAATCATGTAATCTACCCACTCACCCACCACCATGTAGCCTATAAATAAGGCATTTAATCCGGTGGGTGAGGGGATCGCATTTTTGGGCACTCTCTCACTATAATATGAACTTCTCTCTCTAAGAATTGAACTCTCTCATTCTGATCCAACTCTCTAATTCTCACCTTTCTAGACAAATTCCCCTCTTGCGTTCTTCTTGACCCACATAATTCCCTGAATCTCACTCCTACACTCAGTTAGGTTCAAACACCTATATATCATCCAGAAAAAGCGAAGACTTTTTAATCTGTAATATGTGATGCTCGAGCCAGTGCAGAATATGCTATATACCGTTTATGGAAAATGTTGATAAAATGACAACAAAAGTTGACTAATGTACTATATTGAGAACGTATCATGTATGTTACTATGAGCATAACATTATTTGAACGCCTACACTCTTTTTCCTCGACTTATAGCTCATAGACATGGGCGAATATACCTCTAAAATTTGATTAAACGATATCCAACACTCGTTAGCAGTTTTGTATATAGAAAAAATATATAATTGGTAGTTTGGGATGGGACACCCCCGAAATTTTGAAGAAAAAAAAGTATATCCTATCCTAGATAATAGTTTGTGTATAATTTTAAAAAATATATAAGTAATAGTCTGTGTAATTCGAACATTGGACACTATTATAGTAAAAATATTCTTCATTAGGTTGCATTTCATTTTTTGTTCTATTTTAGACACTTTGTAATAATACAAACTCTCTTCCTTAATCCCAACTATTTTCGAAAGCTAACGTTAAAATAATTGCAGACTATCCTTAATTTGTATTGATTTAACGGTTGAAGGGCAATTGTTGAAAGAGTTTTTCAACTTTAAGTTTTCAACTTTGAATTACATAAAAATAAGATTAGAAATCGAATATGCGATCAGTTCGTGAATCATTGTCTAATAGGA